GCCGAGCTGGCGCCGCGCACCGCCGAGACGCTGCGGAAACTGCGGGCGAGCTTCCCGAAGGAGCCACTTGGCGGCGCCAACGGGGTGCCACCACCAGTTGTGCCCCACGCGCCGCCCAGCGCCGAGCTCAGGGAGGAGATGGAGGAGGAGGTGCGCAAGCTACTGCGGCGCCCTCCCCGCCTGGCGGCGCCGGGCCAGCTGGGGACGCGGCTCGAGCACCTGGGGGCGAGCGCCGCCGACGGCGAGACTTCGCGCCTGCTCGCCGGGGCTGCCACGAGGGTCGCCTTCGGGGAGCTGCCGCGGGAGGTGCTCGAGGCCCTGCGCGCGGGGGGGCTCGTGGCGCTCGCGAAGGGCGCCGGGGACGTGAGGCCTCTGCTGGTGGGCGCCACTCTCCGCCGCTTGGGGCTGCGCGCGCTGGCGAGAGCACGGAAGACTCAGCTGGCCGACGCAGCCGGGAAACACCAGTACGGCGTGGGGCGCAAAGGCGGCTCCAACGTGTTGGTAAAGAGCCTGCAGGCCCTGGCGGAAGCCCGGCCGGACGCCACATTCATCAAGGTGGATGTAAAGGCCGCTTTCCAACGGATGCGGCGAGGGCCGGCTCTCGAGGCCATGGACGAAGCTATCCCTGAGGTGGCGGCGGCCTTGAGGGTTTGGTACTCGGGCCCGGCGGAGCACTACTGGCGCACGGCCGACGGGCGCTTCGAAACGGTCCAGAGCCAGCGCGGGATCGACCAGGGTGACCCCCTGTCCCCTGCGGGCTTCGCCGTTGGGCAGCGGCGCGCCCTGGAGCACCTTCTCCACCGGCTGCAGCAACTGGACCCGGGCGCCCGCCTGTATTCCTACCTGGACGACAGCTACTTGGCGGTGCGGGCGGACCTCGGAGTCCTGGCGCTGGCGGGCCTGCGCGAGCTGCTCGCGCCCTTGGGGCTGGAGCTGAACGACGACAAGACGCTGGTCTGGTCTCCCGCGGGGATCCAGGCTGTCCAAGCCGAGCTCGCCCCCAAGTATGTAGCTGTGCTCCCAGTCTTCGGCGCGCAGCTCAAGGCGCCCGGAGACGCCGACGGCGCGGCGCTCCCGCTCGGCGGACAGGGCTGCGGGCTGGACGGGGCCACGGAGCGACTCGGGAAGCTCGAGATCTGGGCCGGCCTCGAGCGGCTGCTGAAAGGAGAGCTCAAGAAGCAGGCCGCGGGCGCGCTGCTCAACACCTACGCCGGCAACGCCAGCCAGCACCACCTGCAACTGGCCCTGGCCTCGGCGGAGGAGACCTTCCGCTACGACACCGTGCTCAAAGGCTGCTGGGAGAGCCTGCTGCAACGGCCGCTGGGCCCGGAGGCGAGCGAGCTGCTGGGGCTGCCGGCTAAGCTGGGCGGGGCCGGCGCGCAGTGGGCTGCCACGAGACGCGCGGCGGCGTGCTGGGCGGCCTGGACGCAGGCGGCCGCGGAGGTCCAGCACGACCTGGGCATCTCCGGCGTTTCCACCCTCGGAGACATGCTGGCGGCCCTGCCAGAGGCCGCGGCCGCGCTGGAGGCGACGCGGGCTGAGCTGGCGCGCCAGGGCGCTGACCCTGAGCCCGCGGCGCCCCTGGAGGCCTTGCTGGGCCACCCGACCAAGCAGAAGACCTTGGTTGCTATGGTGCATGAGAGAACCCACGCTGTTGCAAAGCAGCGAATGCACCGCTGCAGCCAGGCGGCGCTGCTCTCTGCCGGGGGGCCAGGCGCCGGGGCTTACTTGAAGTACCCCGCGGACCTGGCCTGCGCTCTGGAGGACCCTCACTAGGAGACCGCGACCCGGCGCCGGGTCCGGCTGCCGCGGCCCGAGTGCGCCGCCGACGAGCTCGCGCGAGCTGCGGCGACTTCCCAGAACCTGACAGCCGGGAGAGCCCCATGTCAGGCGCCGCTGGACGAGGCTGGCTTCCACGCCGCGATCTGCCAGCCCGGCGGCGGAGTTGTTAAGCGGCACCAGGGAGTGGCGCGCGCCGTGGGCAGCCTCGCTGGCAGGTGGGGCCACTGCGCTCCGCTCTATACGAGCAGCGGGTGCCCACGTGGGACAGGGCCCGCGCGCCGCGGCGAGGACAGCTGGCGGTCCAGGAACGGGCCATCCTGGACGTCGAATACGACGATGTCGACGGCAGGAGGTGGCTGGACGTGACAGTGCGCCATCCAGCGGCCGGCGACGAGCCCGCCGTGCGCGCGGCGGCGCGACGCCCGGGCGAGGCGGCGCGCCGGGCCGAGCGCGCCAAGCACGCGCGCTACCCGGGCGAGCGCCTGACAGCTTTCGCCCTGGAGACGGGCGGCCGCCTCGGCGCAGAGGCGCGGGACTGGCTCTTGAGCCACGTCCGCGAGCTCCCGGAGGACGCGCAGCCAGAGGAGCTGGCGCGCGCCTACCGGGTGCTCAGCTGCGCGCTGCAGCGGGAGCTGGCGCAGCAGCTGCGGCGCGCGGCCAGGCTGCGCTGAGGCTGCCCTGGGTCTGTGGCCTAGGCCTGCTGCAGGGCGGGCTGGAGCGGGCGACAGGGCGGGCGGCGGGTCCCCGCTGGCCTGCGGCGGCCAGGCGCGGGCGGCCGGCGGGGACTTGAGAGCACGCCACGCGGCGGCGCGGGGCAGCTGGCGGCGGCAGCGGCGCGGAGCTGGCGCGGGCGGCGGAGGCGCGGCCGCCGCTGGGCGCCGGGGGGCGGCTGGCGCGCTGCACTGGCCAGGGGGCTGCGCTGGGGGCGGCGCTGGGGGCCGGCGCGCAGGCCGCCCGGGGGCCCGAGGCGGCCGGCTACGGGGTCCTCGCGGTGTCCGCGGAGCTCCCGTGTAGCGGAGTCTATAGGCCCCGGCCGGCGCACCCTTTCCTCTTCGGGGGCGGCTCGCCGCCGAGCGGCGGGTCGCACCTGGGGGGGGGATTGCGCCGGCTCCCGATCACAGTGCTCTCGGCGCGCGGCAGACACGCGGCCGCCCGGAGGGAGGAGGAGGAGGAGGAAGGAGGAGGAGGAGGAGGAGGAGGAGGAGGAGGAGGAGGGGAGGAGGAGGAGGAGGAGGAGGAGGAGAGGAGGAGGAGGAGGAGGAGGAGGGACTCGAGCCCTGAGCCACGGACTGCCTGCCCCTCTTCCTCTCTCCACGAGCGGCCTGCTGAGCGGCCAGGGCTCGGGTGCTGCCAGAGTGCCAGAGGTGTCCCTGGCCCAAAGCGTCCGGGGCTCCATGATGTGTTTTCCAACGCTAGACACGACTCCCACGGCGCACGCATCCCAGAAACTACAGAGACATCGAGCACTATCAAACTATCAATATGCGAGGGGAGAGCCCCCGTGCAGACACTCGATATGAGACAAGAAAGCTCTATGAACTCCGAGCGGTGGGGCCACCAGGCTGTAGGCCGAAGGTTCGCAGATTCCTGTGCCAGTTGCAGCTTCCAGTTTCCACTGTTACAGTTCTGCTTCTTGCTGCTTACTGTTCCTTGTTGATGGACCGCGCGAGGGGGGGAGGCCCAAAACAGGAATTTTTACCACGCCCTGAGCGTGTTGTCTGAATTGCTGGAGTGGGTAAAAACTGACACCCCTCACGCAGATCGGCGGGGTCAGGGTCCACGAAGACAAAGGATATGCCACAATTCTAAACTTCGGTGGCACCCCTCACGCAGATCGGCGGGGTCAGGGTCCAAAAACACATGAGAGTCGCCACATTTCGAAAACTCGGCGGCACCCCTCACGCAGATCGGCGGGGTCAGGGTCCAAAAACACATGGGACTTGCCACATGTCTGACATTCGGTGGCACCCCTCACACAGATCGGCGGGGTCAGGGTCCAAAAACACATGGGACTTGCCACATTTCTGACATCTGCTGGCACCCCTCACGCAGATCGGCGGTGTCAGGGTCCAAAAACACATGGGACTTGCCACGTTTCTGAAATTCGGTGGCACCCCTGACGCAGTTAGGGGAACGTGCCACATTTGTGAAATTCGGCGGCACCCCTCACGCAGATCGGCAGGGTCAGGGTTCAAAAAATCAAAAGATTTTCCAGTTCTAAAATTCGGTTGCACCCCTCACGCAGATCGGCGGGGTCAGGGTCCAAAAACACATGGGACTTGCCACATGTCTGACATTCGGTGGCACCCCTCACACAGATCGGCAGGGTCAGGGTCCAAAAACACAAAGGATTTGCCACATTTCTGAAATCCGCTGGCACCCCTCACACAGATCGGCGGGGTCAGGGTCCAAAAACACAGAGGATTTGCTACATTTCTGAAATTCGGCGGCACCTCTCATGCAGATCCGTAGGGTCAAGGTCCAAAAACATAAGGGATTTGCAACATTTATGGAATTCGGTGGCACCCGTGACGCAACTACGTAGGGTCAGGGTCGAAAAACAAACAGGTCCCGACACTGCTTCACGGCGGCGCCCAGACCTCATGATTTAGCTCTTGCATCTCCCATTATCCAAGACAGGGGGCCGTCGGCATGGGGCGAAGCCCTTACGGATATACGGCAAAGGAAAGTGGGGAGATGGAGGAGGACAGCGACGACGACAAGGGGGGAAATGAGAAGGAACACAGAGGCGGGCGGCTCCCTAAAACTAGGGGGCCGCCCGCCTCCGTGTTCCCTCTGTGTGCCCGAGACTGGGGGCACCCTGTGCCAGGGGCAATTTCTGCAGTTCCTGAAGGCTGCTCTGCTCTGGGCGCGTGTGTATCCCGTGGCGCAGCTGGCGCACCAGACAAGCGTGGCACGCTTGGGCCCGTGGGGCACCTGGCGTACCTAGTCGCACCTGGCACGCGCTGCGAACGTTGCTGGCGTCGCGCACCTGGCTGGCGTCTGCACTGTTTCTTGATGCTTGTCGATGGTCTGAGACTTGGGTGCTACTTTGCAGTGGGAGGGCGGGTGGGAGCAGTCGGGCCGATCGAATCGGGCCGCGGTCGAAACAGTTGGGAAAATCGGCCCCAGTGGGGTGCGCAGTCTGGCGGCGCTGCTCACCGTCGCAGGCGCGCGGAGTCGGATCCGTCGAATCGTGGTCAGGGGGGCGGCCCTGCCTGGACAGCGCCAACCGCCGCGCTTGCCGCCACTGGAAGCAGCGGCCACAAGAGGCGAATTGGGTGCACAGCACGTCCCCGCGCTGCGCTGCCCGCTTGCATTAGCCACGCAGCCTGTGTTCATTTGCAATGCTAATTGGCCTTCGGGCCTAAATAGGCTGCGGACGTGAGCGGCAGCGGCGGCGTCCTCCTCCCCCTCCCCTCTCCTCTCCCACGACGGTCCTCCTCCGGTCCTCCTCCCCAGGCGGGGGGGTCCCAGGGGGGGGTCCTTTTCCTCCTCCTTCTCTTCCTCCTCCTCCTCCTCCTCCTCCTCCTCCTCCTCCTTGTCTCCGCCTCCTCCTCCTCCTCCTCCTCCTCCTCCTCCTCCTCCTCCTCCTCCTCCTCCCCCTCCTGGTCGTCGTCGATGTCTTTCAGGGTCGGCGGCACTGGCCGTCAGGCCTTCGCAATAGGCTGCGGACGTGGGCGGCAGGGGCAGCGCGGCACCCAGGCAGGGCTGGCCCAGAGAGAAACTGCGAGGCGTTTCGAGCAAGGCGGTCAGGGCAGCCTGTCTGGCGCCGTGGCTGAGTCTTGCTGAGCTCATAGATTCCTCCTAGATGGGGTTCGAGTAGATAGGGTCGGAGGATCTCGCCGCATCGCCGATTCATCGGCGATACATCGCGAATGCGTCGGCGATGCGTCGGCCATGCACTGGCGACGTCGGCGATGCATCGGCGACGTCGGCGTGGAGAAAATTGGGCCCCACATCGAGCCGCATCGCCGATGCATCGCCGATGCATCGGCGATCCTGTGAGACCCTCCGACCCCATCTGCTCCGACCCCATCTAGGAGGCCTAGAGCTCACGCCTCCCATATCGTACAGAACTGAGCCAAGAGCTGACTCACAAGCTTGTCGATCGATCCGGTTACAGGAGAGGTGGCCTCCTGGCCGTCCCGCGAACTGCTCGCCAGCGCGGTTGCCTCCCAGGTGTCTCTGGCCAAAGGCCCCCTCGCGTCGTGAACAAAAATCACGACCAGAGTGGCCCTTGTCGGGCCTCGGGACCGTCAAGAGACGACATAGGATGAAACGCTGGTACACAGGAAGGGGTCCAGACCTCTCGGGGTCCACGCCATGACGAAGTCATGACGTCGGGGGTGTCCCCAACCGTACGAGCTACGTATTCTGGATCCCCTGGGCCCCTCTGGGCAGCGTTGGGATGCTCCTTAGGGGATCTGCGCCTTGCAGGAATTCCGGGAGACACCTTGGGAACCAGTGACCGAAAATCAAGACCAGTCAGCATCGAACCGGTAAATCTGATCGAGTCGCCATGTGCATCGGGTCGGGCTGCATCAGCACGGAATCGGCGTCGAATCGGATCGGCTGCGCCAGGATGCACAAGAAACCCATGCAAGCAACGCACCGGATCGTCGGAATATGGGAATCGAATCGGATCGGGCCAGCCGGAATCGACATCGTATCGGATCGATCGGATCGAGATGGACCCTGAAAGTCGAGCACAAACTCCGCGACCCTGAAGGCTGGAAGCGAATGGAGGCTGGACCCCGCGCACGATTTGTATCCGGCAGGCCGTCGGGAGTCGCTCCCCCCCGCAGCGTAAGCAGCACCCTGGCTGGCGAAGCCGAGCTGACAGGGTGCACAAAGGGGGCGGCCGGCGGGACTCCTGCGACACAAGATGACAGGGGGGTCTGTCGACCCGTATCCCCGACGTCGCGTGGTTGTTTTCGAACGGGCCGAAGATCTGGGGCCCAATTCGGAGATAGACGTTGGGGGACGTCCATCCTCGATCCTAGATAGGGGGGCGTCCGAGTAGCCTCCCGGGGATGTACCCCAAAGTCCCCGCATTCTTAGCGGCCTCACTTTTCTCGCGGAACTCGGGGAGCGGGATCGAGAAATCGCCTGCGACAAAAAAACAGGTTGTACAATTGAGACAGATGCAGCACAGAGACAAGCCCAGACGAGGACAACACCGGATTCTCTGAGAACCTGCGGGCGTCTGGAAGATGCATCGGGCGCCGCGGACGCTCCGGATGCTCTTGGGTGATTTCATGTGCATCCTGGGCTTAGGTCGGGCATATCCCTTTACAGGCGGATTGTCAACGATAAATAAAGAACACTCCCCAAATACTCAAACATATTCACAAAAAGGATTGAAAGAATCCTCCCCATCTACTTTTTGACTATTTTTGGAACTTCCTCCTGTAGAGAGACATGCCCGACTTAATCCTAGGCCTGCCGAGCCACCTGGTAAGGCTTCGGGTTTCGCGCAGACAGCCCCCCCAAGTAGTTCCAGCTCGCCTCAGCAGGTCCCCCGAATGGTCCCAGCTGGCCTCAGGTGCTCAGGCCGTCCTGGATTACTCGGAGGCCCGGTGAGGCCAGCTGTGGCTACCTGGGGGGGCCTCATGAGGCCAGCCGGGACTACCTGGGGGTGCTGTCCGCGCGCAGCGCCAAGCCTTTCTGCCCCCTCCTCCTGCTCCCTTGCTCGTTCGATCGCTCATTTGCTCCTTCCTTGCTCGTTCCATCGCTCGTTGTTCGATCGCTTCCTTGCTCGTTCCGTCGCTTAGTTGCTCCTTCCTTGTTCGTTCCATCGCTCGTTCGATCGCTTCCTTGCTCGCACGATCGCTTCCTTCCTCGTTCCGTCGCTTCTGCTGCTTCCTTGCTCGTTAGATCGTGCGCTCGGGCTCCGGACGGCGACGATGCGCGTCGCCCCTGTGGTCCTGCCGGGGAAGAAGGATCCTGCTGGAGATGAAGGGGGAAAGCGGCAAGCCACGCGCGTCCCCCCCCGGATAGCCGCGGACGATCACGACGGCGTGCAATTCCAAGAAACCGATGTCACAAGTGCCCACGAGCGCACATACACAAAGACCCCCCGCCCGAGGAGGGGCAACATGAAGTCGCTGCGCAATGGGGATGCGGGCGTGCTTGCCTAAGGTTGGGTCGGGCCTGACCCTCTACAAGAGGAGTATTTAAAAATAGTCAGAACATAGTAGGGGACCATTTTTGAATATTTCTGGACTACTTTAAAATAATTGTGGAGTCTGTTTCATGTTTCGTCCAAAATCTCTCTGTAGGAGGACAGACCCGACTTAAGCCTAAGGCGTACCAAGCGGATCCCAAACCCAGACTGCCCAGAAGATCCGGACACCCGTCTGCGTTCGGGCCGCTCGAGGGTCGAGAACCAGAAGTGTGAGAAACACCGCAGAAACTTGTGGACGATGCGCCCGCCAGGCCTACCGAAGCGGAGGGAACATCCTCCTCCTCCTCTTCCTCCTCTTCCTCCTCCTCCTCCTCCTCCTCCTCCTCCATCCCTCTCTCCAATCCACTCCCCGACTCCCGCTTCGAAGAGGATCCCGAAAAGCTTCCAAGAGGCCGACCTGAGCCTCGTCACGACTTCGCGGGATGACTCCCAAAGGCCTCTGGTCAACGACCCAAGCACGGCGTTGGGATGGGCCTGACGTCGTTCGACATGCCGCCCAGCGTTACTTGTCGTCCCAACAATGACGGCGCCTCCCTTTCAAAAGGTTGCCAGTGGAGCGTCGGCGCATTCCTTCGGCCACCCATACACATTCCAAAAGTCTTTCTTGCGCCTCCCACGGTGCCCAAAATGGCCTCCAGTAGGGTCTCAAGACGCCTCGAAGACTGGCATGACGGCCCCACGAGGGCAACATGGTCCGAAGATGATCCCCAAGACGGTCCGAAGAGGAGCCCAATACGCCCCAAGAGCAGTCCAAAAGAGCATTCAGGAGGCAACATTCAGCGACTTCCGTAGCCGCTTCGGGTTTTTAACAGCTGAAGACAGCCCCACGAGCCTCCACGATAGCCCCGTGACAGACGGCCCAGGAACCCCCCGAGAGAGCCCAAAGATGGCCAAAGATGCCCCAAGACGGCCCAAGAGACTTCCCAAAAGGCCCTACAGCATCCCAAGAGGGCCCCAACACGGCCCAAGCAGGACCCCACCGAGGCCTCCGAAGGCGTTCGACGGGCCGAGAGAGCCCCAAGACTCCTCCACCCGCGTAGGCTATCCTGGGCCATCCTGGCAAACTTGCAAGCGAAGCTTCTCCACTTTGCAATTCTTGGGGAAGCCTTCCAGGTGGTCGGCGGGATGGGCCCAAGGCCACTGGGAACTTTTTGAAAGGGCCAAGAACTCCGACACCCTACCAGACAATAAGGCAAATTCGCCGCAACACGGCCCACATGGCCCAGGATACCCTCCAAGATGGCCCCTCCAAGACGGCCCCAAAGTGCATCCTAGACGGCCACAGATGTGCGGAAAATGGCCCAAGACGGCCTCCGGATGGCTGAAGAAGCCCAGGATACGCCCCTAGAGGACTCGAGCAGGGGCCCGAAGAAGTAGACATCATATGCTTCCCTCACACGTTTGGGTTTCGCAGTGTTGGGTTCACGACGGTCGGCACAGGCCCCAGAGGCCTCCAAGATAGCCCCGAGACGACCCCAGAAACTTAGAAGAGGCCCGAAGACGGCAGGCCAAAGGTCCAAAACGGCTCCACGACGGTCCCAAGGGGCCCTCACAATAGCCCTAAGACATCCACAGAAGCTTTCAAGACGGCTCTTAAAGAACTTCAAAAAGGCAAAAGAAAGGCTCCACAAGGGCCAAGTGAGGCCATGCCCCTCCCCCCCTCCCCCGGATTTCCACAAACAGTCCATTAGCTTGGCCAGACTTTGGCCCACCGTTTTGCCTCATAGGCGCTTCCAAAAGGCAGGGGGCGGCGGTGGTTCACCATAGGCGTCTTCGATCGGCCCCCCCAATAACCTCTGCCCCAACCCAACACCCCCCAAGAAAAATGGGAACCACATACAAACATTAGGAAACTCGTCTCCAAGGTGGCCCCGCAAGCGCCCAATATGGTCAACGCGACCCGGAAACGGACGACAACTGCCCAAGAGGCATGCCCCAAAGAGCGGTCCAAGAGAGCCTGCAAGAAACTCCGAACATCGATCCCCCGAACATGTCCAAAATGGCCTAACAGACACCCGCAATCGCCCGAACACGGCCCACAATGCCGCCAAGAGGGCCCCGAGTTTGCCCGAGAGGGTCCCAGGACAACCCAAGGTTGCCTCCAAGCTGGCCGAGATGGCCCTATCCTGC